TAAGTTTCCGAAACATCAAAAGCACTACTCATTAATTAAGTGTGCAATTGCTGAGCTGCGGTGAGCAGGCGGCGCGGGCACAAGTTCGACAATTTCCCCATTTCCCCGCCGTCTACCGCCCGTATTTTTGGCATATACCACGGTCTATTTTTCCATACGACTGCGACAGTTTTTAGTTATGACTAATTTTAGAGCATTTACTTTGAAGTCTTGTGTAATGATTTTTGATTTCCACGCGTTCGTTACGGAATAATGTCGGCATTTAATTTTGATTTCAAATGGAAAATACATTTTCAGCAATTCGAATGTGTGTATCCTTAGCCAGAAGAGCTGTGACAAATTTCCTTCTGATAGGCAATATTTTTAATTTTATTTATAAGACGATCATACCCTATAACAATATGGCTAGGCTAAAGGGGTATGCTTGTGCAAATCCGTTAAAACATATGCAAATAAGCAAAAGCTACCTCCAAATGCTCGTTTTTTCCAATATATAAATTTGTTATTCAACTGATATTTTACTAGATTTTGTAGAGTTCAAGATTAATATTCTTTCATAAATAGTGAACATATTTTGTTTGATCCTTAACTCTCCCAGCTCTTATAACCAATTCGCATTCATTTATTAGGATACAAGTTATTCAAAGGGGCACTTTTCTAGTGCTTACAGGGTAACTCTAAGTCGATCACTGTCAGCTCATGCACTTTGATTTGTTTTTTTTTTTTTTGTTTGCCTACGTCGAGTGCTATTTTTATTACAGTTGCAAAGTTGCGCAGTCTTCGCGCGGCGTCTGTCACAGTGTGGCCAATGATCTTAGAGGCTGTCAACATGGGCCGAAGCACCCAGGCAGATGTAGCCTATAAATAAAGGAAACGTCTCAATAGCAGCTAATTTAGCCGAGTTACGGATTTCTTGGTGCGCAAACGTATGTCAAATGCCGCCGCAGTTGATTGGCCGAGCCAAGATTTGCCGCCTCCGGTACAATCTATGCGAACAATGCGAGCGCAGTTATCACTCGGCCACAGTGGGGCCAAATAGTCGCCACAATGGACTTGTTGGGGCGTGGCTGAGTTTGCAGCAGGGCCACCGCCGCAGAGGGTGGCAGCTCATCAAACATTCAACATGCACGCATAAATAATAGTTTTATTATTATTGGCTTTATGCGCACATCAAAACAAATAACAATAAAACCGGACAGTCCGCTGGCACTCGGCACATATTAGTATGCAAAGCATTTCTAATGATTGTCAATGAATTGATAATGCCGACAAATGCATTGGCATGCGTGGCATTAAACCGCAGACGCGGCTCTCATCGAGCTCCCTTTTTGCAACTGCAGGCGACTCGCAGTGACAAATATGTGCACAACATAAAATACCATTTCATTGGAAATCTAACAAATTTATCACACACTCCCTTCACACTCACTTCACTCACTCGGACGTTTGGTGTTGATGGACCTGATGGTGTTCGTGTTCGTGTTCGTTTTCGCGTTGGTGTTGGCTTGGTCTGGCCCAGGCTAGGTTGAGCTGCCCCCGGGATGAGTCTGCTCAAATGTGGAATATGCTGGCGCCAGCAGCCGCAAACAGCCGTTGGTATCGTAGTTTAAATAAGTCTTTAACACAGTTTCAATTTAGATTCATATTCGCACGCAGATACACAGATGCATGTGGACAGTGGCATAGATCCGAAGGGGCATCGCGGAAGGACTTGTACTGTGCAGTATACATAGGCTGCATAAGCTTTCAACGTTCACTTTTAAATGAAACTTACATTTGTTTCAATTAAATCGAAGTGAATACTCAACAGTCTGGCCCTCATACTACAAATAGGGTCACTTTAATAATATATATTTTATAAAATATTGGGACTATTTTTACAACAATTCAGTCGTAATTATATTGAATTTTTTAATTATAAAGCATTTTATAGAGCTCACCCCCGAATAAAATGCTAGCATACGCCACTGTTTTTCGATACACACACACACACACACACACTCACACGCACGCACACATATGTATGTGAGCTTATAGCCGCTCATCATCAGGCACTTTCAATTAAAACATTTCATTCCCTCTTGAATATTGCCTTTGATTAAGTGACTAAGCGGATGAGAGATCATCACATGTGCGGATTACGTGAAAATATGAGCCAAACATTATGAAAACAGATACAAAAATGTATATATATATATATATATATATATGTCTGTGTGTGTGTATGCCAATCAATATGTCTGTACGCCTTTGATTAGCTAAATTTCGTTGACATTGGGGCAACATTAGGTACTGACATTGCAACTGTGGAATTGATTAAAAATTTGAAAGAGTTGAAGCTAGATTTTGTGTACAGAGGCTACCGCAACATGAATCAGTTTATGAATAAACAGACTCCCAGCCGATAAGATGCTGCTTTTGAAGTCGCGAGCGGCATGAAAGGTCACTCGCACAGAGCTTCTGCTGATAAGACAAGTGTGGACTTACCCCGGGTTGCACTGCTCGCTGCGTTTGGCTCGGCGGCCAACTGTAAGCTGTCGTCTGCTGCGCTGGTATCCACATCGATCCAATCGTAGCCCTCCTCCTCGTCCTCCTCGCTTGTGGTGCCCGGTTGGTTCTTGCCTCGCCGTAACTGTGTCCGTCGGCTGCCCGTCGAGGCGCCGCTGAGTTTGTTGCGCCGACGCGTATGGAGATCCGTGTGGCTGTCCCTGCCGTTGGGACTCAGCTCCTTCTGCTGCTCCAGTTTCAGGGCACTGACACTGACACTGAGCGTTACAAGTGCCATGGCGTACAACAGGCAAGTGGCCCGCATTTTTGTATACTTGCTTTCGAGTTGTGCTTTTATGTTTTCTTTTCTTGAGCTGATAACACTTTGTGGTTGCCCTTAACGTCCTTGCTGTAAGTGCATTTTGCGCACTTTAGCTTATCAGCCAGAGGAAACGGATGTCACCGAACAATTGTTACTCGCCAGCTCTGACGAATTGCGTCCATTCGCAAGCGCAGTTTGTCTACTTAATAGTTTTTCCGATTCGTATGCGCATATTCTCTTGAGTTCACTCAATGAAAGTGATTTCTGTTTCTAGATTGTGACAAAAAAACCAATGTATAAGCTTGTTCGCTTGAGGATTGTAAGATGCCGAACCCGCGCACGCCCTCCCCTCCGCAAACTTATCCCTACCCTCTCACACACTAATTAAGCCAATTGACCTCGCGCGGCCGTTCGCAAGTGTTGAAGAATAAAGTCGGAGCAGAAAGCGGCACGATGCGTCGTGGCGACATTTTATCAAAAGTGAACAAAATTATTTATAAGAAAATATATAAAAATATATATAGTTGTATGAAACCAGAGAGGCTGACAAACTGACATACTTTACACATGGCATGTACACACGGCTGCGCACTAATGATGAGGCTGGGCCCTACAGTGCTGGCGGCATGCCGCTTTGATGTCCTTCTAATTGCATATTTTACGGCGCAGTGGAACCGCCCACTTACTAAACACACACACACACATACAGCTGCTTGTGTGTCGCATGCAAGTGCATTATATCCTGCTAAAGGGTTCCACTCTCAAAGAGTGTGTAAGTGGTGCTATTTGTTGTAAGCTTTCGCACAAAGGCGCCACGATGATGGCCATGTTTCCCCGACAAAGCCGACATCTCAGAAGTCAGAAGACAAAAGGGAAACTCACAAAAACTAGACAAATATTAACTCATATGCCAGCAGCAGGCTGTCTGCTGTGAAATGACAGAGAGAGTCCGGGCGGGGGGCTCTGGCTTTGATTTAGTTATATGCAGCTGGGGAACAATGCAATCACAAAGGAGCTGTCCCCGCAAATGGCGCCACTTTTCGAAAGTTCACGCGAGGATGCACAACCAAAACGGGGCACTACACGGGCGGCTTTTATTGTGCCTTCGAACCCCAACGAAATCGTGTACTCGTAACACTTTGATGCACTTGCACTTTGACTTCTGCCCTTACGAGTACTCGCATAGATCCGCTTATCAGAGCAACACTTTTCGCATAGCCACGTTTCTTACAATTGAATTCCAAATCCTTTAGTAATTGGCTATATTTTTAATTGGAATTTCGCCTTGCCAAGACATTGCCGTATTCCCGTCTATTGTCAGCTTTTCGAACGACGGAGAGCACACAACACCCGCGAGCGCGCCGGCTGACAGTCGACAACTGAATGAACTGGCTCTTAATCTTCATGTGTGCGCCTCGGCGGCAAGCGCAGAGTAGTAAACAGCCTGTGCACAGTGGTGCGAGCTCGTGCAAACGGGCTAACAAAATCCTAAACAAGTGGTGGATTGTGAATGGTGGTGGAAACTGCTCGCAAAACCTATTATAATGTAAAATGTATTTAATTATAATTATATGCTATACTAGCGTCTATTTCTCGGCCTTGCATGTGGCATTTTTTATTCCCTCAAATTATGGTGGATTTTACGAAAAGAGGGAAAACGAAACGATCTAAAGGCGAACTGTTGCCCGAATCTTTAGCACGGTTACGAGTAGCTCTTATGGTTGGACCAGTCAGTTTGGACACTCAGTTTTATATATAGAAATAAATGTATATTTAGAATTACATACTTACCTGTAAATTCACACGCACGATGATAGTCTCGTCATCTATTAGGAGCTCATAATATTTACCCATCTCTGAAATAACGGAAAAAGAATAATAATATATTAGATGAAAAGCACTGCTTGCTTTCTAAACCCTACCTTAATTAGTGGGAATTTATATTTGGCATTTTTTTTGTTAATTTTTACCAGCTTTCTTAATGTCCTCTGCCAAAGCTATAGCCGCAGTTCCTTCATAGCCGTATCCTCCAATCCTAAGAATAGCCTTGAAAATAGGTTTCAAGCAAATTGCACAAAACTTAAAACTTCGCTGAAAAAAATCCTGAGTTTTTCACCAAGTAGGCTGGGCTCAGTCAGGACAAGCAGTTTTATACATAGATTTATTCGTAATGTTTTTCTGAATTTTATATTGAATTGTTAATTAGTCTTAATTTTATTTTATTCGGGCCGACAAAAACAAAACTAGTCAATTGGCACAGCTTGTGCACTTAAAGCGCCATCTCTTGACAGAATCTTTGAAAATAATAAAGCAGTGCAGTTGACTAATTTTAAATATTTAGGTTTGTGTATTGGACAAGTAAAAGATGGTTTCCATCTTGGATAGGCACAAATGTGGTGCAAATAGGGGAATATAAGTGGTCGAGAGAGAGGGAAATTTCTAATACTTGATTGGGTGAAATTTTTTAAATTTTAAACTTAATCGTTTATGCAAACAAAAAACATAGTACTAGATTTGAGAGGAACATATACTTTGTGTGCCCATAAAGCATGCCAGAAATAGTTTAGCCTTATCAGATAAATTCCTAAATTAATTCCTAAATAAACTCCTACATTAACACTCTTATATTTTATAAATTGTTTTTATCACTGCTAAGAAATTGGTTATGGATTTTAATAATGATAAAAAGCAACGTGGTTTGGGTAAGTTCTATTAGACAAGCATCGCAAACTAAATTTGTATACTTGAGATCAATAATAATTCAAGTCCCAAAAGGCCCCAGTTTTTTGTTGGAGCGAAAGCAGCGTATATCTATTGAAGGTCGAGGCGATATGTACATTAAGAACACCCAAACCCAGGTTCGCGAACTGTATCGGCGCGAGGCTTTGAACGAGCCTCGGCGAAGTTCCTCTTCTAACACCGATAGCCAATTGCTGAAGACCAGTCTGGAGGTGAAGGCGCTCAACAAGAAGATTGAACGTGAGATTGGCAAATTGAAGAATTTCCGTTATTCTTTCCTAAAGGATGACCAGAGTCCAGTCCAGAAGCAAAAGCCGGCACCGACAAAGACGACTGTCAAGCATTTGCATTGGCGTCAAAAGCTATTAAAACATCATAGAGAACGCACCTTTGACGAGAGTCCAACGTCATCCAATCGGCAAGAGCTGCAAAGCTTAGGATTTTCCTCGCCAGACACCGGCGACAGACGACCGTATTTTCGGACCATGTGCGTCGCATCCTCCCCGAAATCGAGTGCCGGGGAGCAGGCCGATTCCAGCCGGCCCACAACTGGCGATAATCGTTTGGATCGAAGACCACATCAGCCGGAACAGAAGATCACCCGCATGTGTGGTGGCTGTGTCTATGGACACGGCGAAGACATGTCGCAGCCATGCTCAGTCTATCAGAGCGACTACTGTCAGTACGGAGGCGCCTCCTTTTGTCCCCAGTGCACTCCGAACAGTTATAGAACCTGTGATATGCCCGGACCTATGCCCATGCCTTACTCGCCCGATCCGTTATACCAATATCCCGTAGGCTCAGTTAACCAGCAGCAAGAGTCAATGATGAACAGCTGTACGTGTTCCAGGCCGAGCTGTTGCAGGCGTAGAACGGACTTGAATACGGATAAATTCTGTCACAGCTGTTGTGCGGATCCTTTGTCAAAGCGTGATCGCTCTTCAAAAACGAAAGACAATTTTCTGTCTAGATCCCCCTCCCCGCGACCACAAGCGCGACGCGTTGGGAAAGAAAAGGGGAGATTTGAAAGCCCCTCCAAGTACCCAAGTCAGCAAGAACAGCCGCCAAATTCAGACAAAGTAATGAAAATTTCTTTTAGAAAACAGCAATCGGAACTATCCGAGAGCGCCAAGACGAAGCCAGCCAAGGATAAAATGATCATCAAAGCATACGTAGCAGCGCAAGCGCCGACTATTGATAAACACCACATCGACGAGGAGAAGTTACGCATGCACCGCGAGTACATGGAAATGTACAGAATGGAGCATGAGAAAACCGCCGGAAAGGATTCCAGCCTAAACATGTCAGAGCTCGGAATATCTCCCACCTATACAATACTGCCCGTACAGGAAAGCACAAGTGCAAAACATAGTCGTTCATATATCGTAGGTACGTCCACAAGTCGTCAGGTGAGGTTTTCGCTTGATCAGTGTAAATGTGAAGATCCTTCGGAAGCAGACGCTTTGGCGAAGATATGCCAGGACACGGTTACGCAAACGGTGATAACAAATGGCTGCATGCAACAAATGGAAAACTCCTCCAGCGTCGAATATGAAAGCTGTGAGGCTAAGACGGACCAATTCCAAAAGCGTACGCTATCCGTTAAGCGGAATGATGTAGTAAAAACAGTCTCAAGCTGTCAAACGGATGACGTAGTTGAGGACTTTCTCGATGAATGCTCATCGTACGTGGACGGTGCGGGCGCCATGAGCCAGTGGCAACTGGCGCAGCAGCCGCCTTCGATGACCAACCAGTCTAGTCAAACGTCACCCAAAATAGCTGGCCCGACAGTTTCAAGCTACATCTCCCAGTGCCAGGGCATCATTCGCAAGCAAACGACAACCCAAACAGATATTCAAAGCGACTCCCGTGACTGGCAAGAGTGTCCCGAAATATTAACACATGAGCAGCTCCTAAGCTTGAATGGGGAAAATACTGTTCAAACGTCTACGACAATGCGCGACTTGACAACGGTTTCGGAACAACCAACATTTTCAGGGGCCCTCGGAGTAAGTACTTTGAAACATATCAAGTCTATTTATCTACGAGCCATGTTAATTGAATCACCAACAGCAATCCCATAGAAAGGTCGTCCAAAGTGAGCCGGTTATTCAATCTCCACGCGCTGAGTTTGCATATGACAATGGCCCAATCTCTGCAGCAGAACGCCCTGAAGCTTTCCAATCGCAGCCACATGTTTGGATTCAGAACTCGTCAGACGCAGCTGTTTCGCCCAGAAAGTGTATTCCATGGCATGAATTGACGAGCAGCTATACGCAAAGCCAACAAATCTGTCGTGATAGTTCCGGGGTCCAACAAAATGCGGTAGACTTTACGGAAGAAATCTACGAAGATTGCAAATGTCCTGGTTCAACTCCAGTGCATATGGATCACGACAACGACAACGTGGACTACAGAAACCAGCACAATTTATCGCCAAACTTAACAGCTACGGAGTACACAAGTTTGGTAGAATGTCCAGATTATAACAGCATAAATAGACCTGATGACTGTGAACCGTTTGAAGATACTACAGCCGATTATGACTCCACAGTGGAAGAGCTGAGTAACACTATGCTGTCCATGGAAGTGCGTAGTCCGTCGCCAATATTGGACGCAACCTTGACTTGTAGAGACCAACATGAACAAGATTTCAATCCGTGCGATGATTCCGAGTACATTCCACAGCTAGAGGAGCCAGTCGCCTCCGGGCGCGCCTATTTGTACAGACAAGAGCAGTTAATACACAACTTCGAGCCTCCACGTCAGGAATCCTATGACAGGGAGCAGCTGGCAATCAGAGAGCAGAGTATACAGAGTAGATCCACCGTTTGTGAAAGACGGGCACGTTCCGTGACATTTGAAGATGAAAGCGGCTTCAGCGAGAGAAGCAACACGGTCAAGAGCTGCCGCAGCCTCGTTGATTGGGAGCGCGTATCCCAACATAGCCTTAGAAGAGACATGGGACAAGAAGACTTTCCTCATGGCAACGGATATGCCGACGTTGGAAGCCCTATGAATTCATACAGTAAGCAGAGCAATGTAAAAGCTTGAGTTGCCATCAATTGTTTCATTTCCATTCCTTAGGATCGAGCAGCACGGCGGGCACAGAGTTTACGTGTAATGAGTCCAACTACGGAGACGATTACATAACCTGCAATGAGGCCCAAACGGAACGCGGTATTCATATTGATATTCCGCCCTTTACCGGATGTCCCTGCATGCACAACGAGTATCTGAAGTTGGTTGGCATGTGTAAGCCAAGACCTTATGGTGGGCTTAACAGCTGGATCTTGCCGGATTAATATATAACTTGATACTTAAAATAGTTTCCTAACGCTCTCGCTGCCTAAATATTATAAATATATTTTTTAATATTACAATACAATAAACTGACAGATGGGCATTGCTCTGTACGCAGTACATATACGATTCATTTAAGCAATTGCAATACCTAAACTTGAAACACATCATTTAATATTAATATAATGTTCAAATATAAACTTACAAATATATATTCGCTTATAATTAAAAAGTCTATAAATGCAAGAGACAAGGTTTGTGTACACAATACAAATTAGATTAGATTAGATATTTAAATAGCTTTAAGTCCTAATGCCCAAATGTGAAACGTATTTGAGTATAATACAATTAAATTAAAAATAATCTTAGACTTCATCACTTGGCTTGTTTTATAGCGTTTGGGGTGGGACTTTGGGACTGACTTCCCTTGAGCGCGCCTGACAAAAGCGATCCTCGGTTAAATTTTTACGTAACTCTTGTGCCTGCCGCTCATACTGATTGGCCAGACGTTCCTGTTGATTGCAACGTTCACGCTCTTCTTGAAGTTCTCTCTGTTTTGGATGACAATGGGCTTATGCCTTCGTTTTCGTATGTTTTATAAGGAATTAGTTACCACAGTCTTTGCGTGCAGCTGTCTAAGACGCTCCATTTCGCGTTTCGCGCTTAGCTCCGCCTCATCCTGGCGCTGTTGATCGCCGCGTATCCGCTCCAGCATTTGCTCCGTAGTCTCAGTGGTTACCTGATTTAATGCAAACTTTTCCTGCAGTTCGTTGCGCAGTTTTTCGCATTCCTTTTCCAGCTGCAATTGTGTGTATTTTTTTACGGTTTTGTGGATAAAAAAAAACGCGGGCCTTTATTTAAACAAGCTAACTAATAGCGACTAATTACTCTAAGTAAAGACATTTCAAAAGCGAAAGAGCACACAAAGCGACAATGGCAAGGAAGATATAGTTGAGTATAGTCGAAGTTAAATATTAAGTATAGTTTACTGAGAAAGGCAAACTCTGCTAGTGTCCGTCTCGGAGCCCCGCACTACAAATACAAAAGCTTACCTTTCGGCGAACTTCATTTAGTTCGTTTAACTCGGCATTTAGCTTCTCTTTTTCAATGTCCAATTTATCACATAGCTCCTTGCGCACATCAAGCTCTATCTTCTGCTCGCGTGCGTTCTCAAGTTCCCTTTCCAAGCAGCGCATGGAGGCGCGAGCGGCTGTCAGCTGCATCTCCAAATCGTCAATTTTGCACTGTCGGCAGCAGAGCTGATCCTTGAGCGAACGTACTTCGCACTCCAGTTCGCAAATTTGCCGCCTGCATGCATTTATGAATATGCGAATTAGTTCAGCCAAAGATAATCGCATATAATGTGGTGCCACTTACTTGAACTCTGTCGCCTCAAATTCCAGGCTCTGATTGTTACCTTCCAAGACGACTTGGTCGTGGGTCAAGTTATGATAGTGCTCGAGCAATTCCTCACGCTCCTTTTCCTTTAAGACAAAGTATACCTAGCAGTTTAGCACAAACTTCAATACGCCTGTCTTATCAACTAGTTATAATATTTGTTGGCTTTATACCTTATTCATAAGCAAATCCTCGGCCCTCTTCACCTCCTGGACGTATTTGTGCAACTGCTGTTTCATGTTAGCCACCTGCTGTTCCGAGTCCTTGAGCTTCTTTTGCAGCGTCTTGGACTCCATTTGGACGTCGCTCAATTTGTCCGTGAGTCGCCTGTTAAGACACAAACGCATCAGATATCATCGTTAAAAGTCACACAAAAAGCGCGCTAATGATCGGGCACAATAAAAATTAAACAAAGAGGTAGCTAATGCGGACCGGCCAGACTAATGTCTGATGCAGTTCGGCATTGCCCAAGATTATTTATGCATATGCATATACGTACCCATTTTCCGCAATTGCCTCATCGCGGCTGGCTTTGAGTGCCACAATCTGCTGCCGCAATGTTTTGCTTTCCGCTGACGTTTCATTCAATGCCGAGTCGCGCTGGCGCGTTCTTGTGTTCAGCTTGCTGTAAGAAGACACTTTTTAGTTTGCAATCTCAATTCTGGCGCCAAGTTCAAGATAAGATACTTTTGCAGTTCCCTTAGATACATACAATATGAGTAATTAGCTTGCTGCGTGCTCTACACACATTGCGTTCACGGCCATTCGTTGCGGGGTCAAATCAAAAGATTTAAGCAACGAACTTGCTCAGAAGCAATTGTAATAGAAATCGATTTGTTTATGCCTTATACCCAATGTCCGCTCTTAGCTAGCCATTCAAAGAGCGAACTACGCATTCCCAAGCTAGGCACGTCCGCACATATCCGCAATTCGAATTAAAACTCAAGAACAAAGCACGGCCCTGCGTGCCGTCGACCAGGCCAGACCAAAGCCAACGACCATCGGTGTCAATCATAACTGCCAGCCGGGTGTCACTCGCAACTGAAGCGCGTATGTGTGCGAAGAACCTTTAAGGCTGATCACACACGATGGCAAATTGAAATTCCACTGTGTGTGTGTGTTTGTGAGAGAGAGAGGAAGTGCAGATATATTCATTTAAGTTAAATGAAAGAGCAACGACGTCAAGAGCACGCACAGCGAGAGAGCCGGAGAGAGAGAGAGAGTGAAGCGTGGTCCGCTTACCTGTCCCGGCCTTACCGCTGGCCGTAACGCAGAGCCGCTCAGACGTCTGCTACCTGTGCAGGCGAATGGTCGCTTTAAGTGGTCGCGTCTCGTGTTGTGCCCAGTTCTGCTGCATGTGTGAATTGGCATTGGGATTCGGAATCGGTTCGGTATCGGTATCAGGTCGTGCATTGTCGCTGCTGATTGCGTTTGATTGGGGGCGGATCGGAGCCTCAAATCAAACTCCCCAAATAAAGCCCCGAGGTGAGCGTCGAGCAGACTTTGATAAAAGTGAACACATCCGCATACACACACACACACGTACACACACACACACGTACACTCATACGCACGCAAATGACTCAAGAATCAATTGAGCTTTGCAGATTAGAAATGCCAAACACACTTTTCGGCAGCAACTCCCATTGTTGAATCTCCGTTTGTGTTCTTTTGACCAATTCAAAGAGCATACTCTGCTTGTCGGCATTAGGAAACCTGTTGCTGCTCGGCTGTATGGCTCTTTGGCTGTTACGACAGTCGACTCCAACAAGAAACCCAAAACAAGTCAAAGCTGCGGTTAGCCTAATGCATTATTTATAGCCCAGGCAGCGGCAGCAGCAGCAGCAGCTGTTGTCTGTTGTCTGTTGCCTGTTCGCGCTGTTGCCTATTGGATATTCGTTATTTGCGGCTGAGCCCAACCCCGCCGGGGCAGACAACTTTGTGGAAAAAGTGGGGAATTAGTGCAAAGTGTTGCACGTTTTTTTAAGCACCGCTTGGCTGGCTGCCTCTGCTCTGTTTCGTCACTAACAACATGCAAGTGGGAATTATATAAATGCGCCGCCTTTCAACTCGGCCGATGGGCAACAGAAGATTTCTGCCAACTGACCGCAACAGCGACTGGGGCCAAGTGCTATCAGGCCGCTGCTAAAGAAGTCAAGATAAACGCGCATTTGGGTCATGGTTAACAGCGCACGAGCGCATACTGGTTTTTACATTGCCGTGTGGTTTTTGTAAGTCGCGGAATTGCCAAAAACTTTACACAAATCGATGACCTGCAAGTTGGCTAATTTAATTTGGAGCCGCTTTCGGCCCGGGCCCGCATTCAACCAAATACAAATAAATGTGCGCATGTCTTCAAGATAGGCGGCAACTGTCTTTCTGCCTTAACTATTCTGTCCCTGCATCAAAAGCTTAGCAAAAACGCCATCGCCCACGGGCCATGGTCCAACCCGAACAGTAGAAAATCCATCAATCATGCGTTTTAATGAGCGACTCAAAGCCGGTTTAAATTGGCGCCAGCGCAACGAGAGTAAAAGCAACTTAGCCAAATTAAATCCGGTGCCCAATTACCCTTACCTATAACCATGTACTTCCAGCTGGTTGCGATGCGAACAAAGCGCCGGAAGCTGCTGGTCTGCTGGGCAGCCTTGCAGGCGGGCAGCAGCATATTCACCTATCTGTTGCTTTTGCTGGCACAACAACAGCAGGCATTGGCCGGGATTGTGCCGCCGCCGTGGAGTGACCCGGCAAAGAATCCGTGCGCCAGCATGGCCGGCGGCTGGCAGCTGCTCTACTGGACGCCGCTTAAGAAATGCTTTAAGATCTTCACACTTGGCTACCCCTGTCCGGACACCATGGAGCTGAGTCCCACGCCAATAAGCGCCAAACGGAAAGATGTGCCCGCGGCCGAGTGCCGCTGCCCGCCGGGCACGGCGCTAAGTGCTCTCACCGACGCTTGCCACAAGCTGTACGAGCGCGGGCCCTGCCAGCGGGGCGAGTACTTCCAGCCTCTACCAGAACAGGCCAAGAGGTGGGCAACTGCGTTTCTGTCTAGTTTGTTTCGTTAGCCAATGTTTTTCGCTTTCAGAGCCGACAACCGCTGGGGCAGCTGCAAGCGGCCGCTGCACTGCGACGATGGCATGCTCTTCTGGCCAAAGGACGGAAAGTGCTACCCGAAACACTCGAAGGGACCCTGCATTCGGGGCAAGCTGCTTGCACGCAACGAAGACGGCCTGGCCGAGTGCCGCTGTGAAGATGTGGGCGAGCTGCGACCCTACTATTACACAGTGGAGGAATCCTGCTATGAGCACTATACTATAGGACCTTGCTCGACACCGGGTCACATATTTTTACCCGGCGGCCGCTGCGACTGCCAGCGACATCTGCCCCACTATCACGCCCCACACCAGATGTGCTACGAGCTAGGTAGGATTTTGAGACTGAAATGAAGCTAAACGTAATTACTTCCTGCATTTCATCTTATTGCAGACACTCCTGGTCCCTGTCCACCTGGCCATGTCTTTCGCATACCCGATGATATCGAAGCGGACCAGGAACCGGACACGCTGCTAACCCTGCCGCATGCCAAGTGCTTGTGCAAGGAGGGCTATGTGCCCTGGAGCGACGGTCATTGTTATCGCCTCTACACACGCGGCCCCTGTGCAGTCAACGAGTTTGTGGTCAATGAAACCTCCTGTATACGTAACTTTTGCGGCAAGAACCGGCTCTACTTTCCCGCCGAGGACTCCTGCTACAGGATCGGCTCACAGGGACCGTGCTCCCTGCACCAGGTGGTGGTATTTGACTTTACGGCACGACCATCCGTAGATGGAATCTCCTACAACGGCATGTGTGGCTGTGCGGGCGTCATTACAAACCTGGACCAGCAGTGCTCAGCCAGCAACGATCAGGAGAAGAGCATTTGCGAGGCCACGCCTGGCATGGTTGAGATGAATGGCCAGTGCCATAAACTGTACTCGCGAGGACCCTGCGGTGCCGGCCAGTGGCTGGAGCCGCTAAAAACGCAATCGATCAACGGCACCGCGCTCTTGAGCTATGCCAGCAAGGCCAAGTGTGTCTGCCGGCCAGGCTATACGCCGGCCGAAACAGAACACGGCGGAACGCACAACTGCAGCGCACCCAGCGTGAGCCTGGCGAGGTATTTAACCATCGAGCGACAGAACTCGAAGTTCCTCACTGAACCAAACAACCCACTTTCGTCCCCAGCTATAGTTTTACTTTAGTCTATCCCATGTCGAACTCTTGGATTTATCTACCCAATTCTCAGCGCATGTCTATTTCTACTTATTTACCTATGTTTCTAAGCTATCTATGGCCCGCAGTTTTCGATGCTTTGCGATTTCATATTAGATCAATCGATTTAATCGTTTCATTTCCTTTTAGGTGGTTCTTAGATATATTTGGCTAACGTTCGCAGCCAAAGCTTGGCTTTAAAAGACGCCAGGGTGGGAGATTGTGCCATGAATGTATTACCCCAGCAACTGTATAAATGTTTAAGTGAACTGTAGATAATATGAATAAACATGTTTTATGTAAGTCTATCATATTATGGTCCACGAATTTTGTATATGTAAAATGACAATGTACTTACTCAACTTGTGACTCCAGTTCCTTAATCGTTTGCTCCAGTGCATGTCGTTTCTCCTTACAATCTTTATGCTCGTACTCCAATTTATAAAGGCGCTCCGTTTTGTTATCCAATTGATTCTATGTATAATCGATTAGTTAAGGGGAGAGAAAATAAATTGGACACTCGCATACTTACCAGCAGCATATCCTTTTCATGCTCCAAGGCAATGTAGGTCTGACGTAGTGATCCGATTTCCGTTCGCAATTGCGTAACCTCATTGCGATTGGTTTCGCGACTTGAATCCAAAGTGCTCGCACGCACATCCGCCTTATGCAGCTGACGCTCCGCCAACAGAAGCTTACTCTGATAATCGCCTATGATGCGCTCGTTCTGATCATTAATCAAGCTGTTAAGCATGCAAATAACAAACTCTCGTTAAGCTTAGCTGGATAGATTACTGCAAAACCCTTACGTTATTTGTCCGTTCTCCCTCCTCAGGTGCTCATTCTCGGCCTGCAGCGTCGCTAAGCGCTTGTTTAGCTCAGCCATATCTTCCTTCAAGAGAGCATTATGTGTTTCAGTGGGCACGCGTGCCGTATTTAGGTCACGGTAATCTCGCTCCAGCTGGCGTATGCGATCCTGCAAGTCCTCATTGCGTAGACGCAGAGCTTGCAGCTCCTCGGCATGCAGCTGGACACTGCTCAACTGTTTTTCCCGCAGTGTGTCCCGCTCGCAACGCAAGCGTTCGAGCTCAATGCGTGCACAGTCGCGTTCGCGTTCAACGCGTCCAATGGCAGCCTGGACGCAGTCGCTCCGATTGCTGTTGCTGTTCGAGCTGCATGTGGTGGTGGGTGGTGGTAAACTGTCGCAGTGGTCGCCCTTTCGGGGTGACAGCTGCAGCTTAGCAACGGACGCCTGGCATAACTCTGAGCGAAGAGCATGTAGCTCGTCGTCCTTTGATTTGATTTGGGCCTGCAGGAACGCAACCTCGGAGTCCGAACCGGATTTGCTCATGAGGCGTAGATACTCCTTTTGGAAAAAGTCTCGTTCAGACTTTAATCGTATTTTCTCCTCATCCAATGTAACACAGCTTTGCTGCTGCTGCTCCCGCAGCTCTTTTTGTAGCGTGGACATCTTCGCTTCCATTTTGAGCAGCTTCTTTTTCTGCTTTTCATTTAGCGCTTCCAACTCTTCTTCACGTCGAGTTAGCAGATTGAGCTTTTCATTAAGAATTCGCTTGTCATTGTGGACCGAGGATTCATCGCACCCGGCGGCCAGACGCGGGTTCTTGGTTCGTTGATCATTGCGTCGGTGGAATTGCTTCAGCTCGGTTTGCAACTGTCTCAGCTCTAATTCCTTCGCATCAATTTCGGAATTGGCTTGCTGCTCCACCTGCAAAGCAGCTTCCTTTAACTCGTACAGTTGCGTTTGCAACTTTTGTTTCTCTTCCTCAATGCGAAGCGCACGTTGCATGGCGTCGTGCATCTTATCTTGATACTCGCCAACCTGAGCCATCAGCTCGCTTTTCTCGCGCTGCAGCATGTCAATGTCCTGGGAGAGGGCGCCCACTTCCTTGTAGCAGCAGTCTTTTGCTAATGCCGCGGGTGGCCGGCCCCCTGCGAGCAAATCGTTCAGCCGTCGAATCTCCCGGTTGCGCGATTCCACTTTGCGCTTATAGAACTCCAATTGTTCGCCGGCACTTGTGAGCTCATTTTGCAGTCTGTCAATCTCTTCTGCTCCACTTGTATGCGTTACTGTGACGCCATCCTTAGTGGTCGTTGTAGTCTTTTGAACAACTCCAGCATTGCACTTGGTGCATTTCAACGAGGAGTTGGTTGAAATGCCACTTAAGGCGGGCAACGCTTCGCCAGAGCGAACCGTACTTATAAAAGGCCGTTTGTCTGTAAGTAGGTGCATATTTAGTGGTAAATATTGCCAAACTCCTGTGTAACATACTCTGCCTTGATATCGCAAGCTGCGTTCGTTTAGCAGTTGCCGCATTGATTAGTTGCTTTGATAAAAACGCATCAAGTTGACTTTGTAGTTGCACATTATGGCTTTGCAAATGCTCGTTATCAGTCTGCAGATTGCGTATGCGCCGCTCAGCCTCTACAGAGATAATTATTAGTATTGTTAAGGGAGCCGAATTATTAATGTAGTTGACCTACCATAAAGTCGGAGTTCGTAGCCTTCGCGTTCTTTCAGAGACTGTAAGTGCAGCTCGTTACACTCGGCCAGCAAACGCGAATTGTCACATTTGTAGGGCTCAACGCCCAGTTCCCAGCAGGCTTTTTCCTAGAGAAATACTTTAGAGTATTTCACGCACATAAATCAATTATAAATACTTACTTCCAAGAGATCAGCAACTTGCCTTTTTGTATCACGGAGGCATTCTGTTGTTTTGATTAAATCACCAAATATAGCTCCAACTAGCGGTATTGCTAGTACGGGCAACGTTTGGTTGAAGCCCATCACATCGAGCTTTGCGCGTAGATCCTTAAAATCCCAGTCGCTCATATTTATATTTAAAAAGTGCACTTTTATTTTCTGCAACCGCGCGTTGTCTTCCTCTTAAAGTAGTTTACAATATTCCGATAAGTTTTCGATAGACTCTGACGAATGACAAAAGGTGGCGGCCAGTCGATAACACATGCAAGCAATTTATCGGCGTGGTGAGAATTAACTCCTATAAATATGCAATGCATAACATAAACGGGAAATGCATTTTTAAACCACAAACCTAAAGACCATGATGCTTGTATTGATAATTACATAAAAAATATACATTATTGCCGCTAAAAGCTGACGACCATTTGCATTTGCTTTTCAAGTATCAATTTCGCGCTGTTCAAAAAACCAAACGTAAGCGTAAATTTAAAATGTATACACAATTTTTGATTTTCTAACGGATTTGACACATTTAAAATAACAAACTTTCAAACAGATCGAACTTTATAGGGCCATTAATTATCTTGGTCCACCCTGCAAGGCACTTAACTTCCAGAATCGATCGCTTGACCGTTTACTGGGATGGGAAATCAACAGGTGTTACAGCTTAGCTTACTCAATAACAAAACATTGAAAATTCTTGAACATGAAAGGTGCATCATCGTCTGATATAAAATTACGTTCCGGCTTCTCTGACCCAAAGGGGTTTGTGGTGGGCGGCAGCACGACACTTAACTGACGATTCGACTGATTGAGAAAATGACTCAAGTCCAGCGGCGCTTCATATTTAGTATAAGATGTAACTACAACTGGACATTTGAGATTCAAAGTTGCCCGTATTGTCTCCGGCCAGGTGTCTTCCAATGCATAGCCAGTAGCCCGATACAGTCCCGAGTTGAAAAAACAGGCTGCTCGAAAATTAAAAGAGCATTATATGCGATCTATACTTAGAATTTGATTAGGATAATAGGAAGATGACCAAAAGGAGGACTTTTTGCTGCAAGCGTACGATAACAGAAGCTTCTGATTTCTTACCCAAGTCCGGGTTTTGAAAACCTGGTGCCGAGCAATAATTGTGATAAAGTTGATTCTCAAAATAATATTGCACAGTGCGTTGTGCTTTGCGACACAAACGACAACATCTGCAGATGATAGAGAAGTTGGTAAATAAATTTGAGTTTCAAATGTAACCCACCTAATCTTCGATAGTTGGTCAAAGGATATGTTCTTGGTGTTCAGCTCTGGTCCAACGAAAACGACATTCAACGTTGCAACTGCTGGTAAAATGTGCAGCAAAAAAATCTCCCACTTCTGAAATACATCAACTTCGAATTCCATTTCAGCTCCAACCAGATGAATTGTTAGCTCCTTGGCTTTCAGACGTCCGCAAAGCTTAATGGCTAAAAATGCGGTTAGAGGTCCTGTGGATATCTGAGTAAGTGCAGCAAGCTCGCAAGCATCGGTTACATCTAAGGAAAGTAGGATTAGCTTGCACATGAAAATTTTCGAGCATTGCCTTACCAAAACTTAGCTTTTTCAATATTTGCCTGGTATTGGTGCAGCCAAGTGGTGCATCTCTCAAGACCTTGTCGGGCAGCGGCGGTTCCAGACGTCCAAACTTCGCCTGGAACATGACAAATGCCTTGAAGAGCCTGTAAGCGCCACACCATTCGGCATGGCCAGCGCCTAAATGATCCGGCTTATCCCTGCAGAAGGCAGCCTCGCCACAGCGCCCGCACGCCGCTAGCTTCTTTAGTCTGTGCTCCCGGCACTTGACATGCCCGCAGATGAAGGGAAAGAGCAACACCTCCTGCTCCGTGGCCGTTAGGGTACGATTTATGGCCTGCTCCAGCTGACGTATGCACACAATGCGATACGAGCGAAACTGTTCGGCACTAAAGTCGCCGCACTTGTAGAAGGTATCGTGCCCTGAAAATAGGCTTCGCTATATCCATGTCCATAAGATCTACCACACCCACCCACCATTGCGCTCCACCAACTGGCGCAGGCCGTAGCACAACTGGCGGTGCTCCTGATCGTCCCGCATGTGGAGCACGCTGCAGTAGTAGACCAAACCGCAGCCTCTGCACGCCATCGGCTGCCGGCCGCACAGATCCAACTTGCAATGCTGTAAATTCCGATGGTTTTATTTAAATCGCATCGGGCCAAAGGGGTCGGGCCACAACTCACGTTGCACAGCGATGCCATGAAATATTGCCGCGGCTTGTATATGTACTCCACGTACTCTGCCTCCTCGTCGGATGACTCCGAGTCGCTCAAGGGCGCCGTGCTGAACATCTTGCCCAGCTGACTGAAAACTGCACCCGTTGGCAACTCGGCGGAACCTACATGGTGCCATATATATACATGGATTTAGTGCGTGAAGATAGTTATATAATATGCGCTACAGATATACTACATCACTTCTATGGATACCTTTTTGCAGCTTGCTTCCAATGCATTTTAGAAGCTCGCTCACTTCAACACTTTGGCTGCCGTTGGTTGGTTTGGGCGGAGGAGTGGGCACTTTGGCTGGAGCGGCGTTTGCTGGACTTGTCGCCGCCGATGGACCTTTTTTGGACAACAGTTTCTTGCGCAGAATCTTTTGTATTAGATAAATGGCGCTGGTGTTCGGCTCGACTTTAGATGGTTCGGGCTGCGGCTCAAACTGCTCCAAGTCGAAGGAGACGGGCACGGATTCTGGAACATCCGGTTTTTTCTCCTGCTCCGTTTCGCCGGACCGATTGCATTTGTTTCTGGGCCGATTACGTGCGCGCGCCTTCTTCTTTTGATTAGCGTGCATGTCCGATCCAATCTTTACGCGCGTCTTCTCGCGCAGAATTTACTCATTTGAATGAACAATACAAATGGCAGAGTACCCAAGATAATTAGCCAGCACAATTGTGCACGGGCACAGCAAGGCACAGCAGGCATACGCCCGTCTATTTGTGGACTTGGCTGGCAGAGACAGCGACTGTCGTCTGTGGCTTCGTTAAACACTATCATCATGAGCGTTTGATAAATTTCTGCGCCGGACCAGAACAAGAGCAAATTTTTTGGCTGTGACCACAATGCGGCTTTTATTTGCATGTAGTACGAGTATGTAGCTGTATGTATGATTGATGTAGCAGCCCACACACACATACATACATGCATACATAGCTACATAACCAATTGAACACAAGTACATGCCGTTTGATATACACTCTCTGTTTGGGCGGATGCGAACCTCTACTCTACACTAAAGTGCTTTCCGAAAATAAAATACTTTCGGCTAGATGATAGTACTAATTTTGATGTCAAGACTTGCATCTGTTGTCGTTTCCCAATACGTTTAAGATATTAATATTAATAGATGAACATCATGTTCGGACATTTGTTTTTTAAGCTTTCTTAATGAAAAAAAAATATATATTTCACAGCTATTTGGCATGCCGTTCCCATAATCTTAAAACTTTACATTGGTTTCAAGTATCAAAATCTTTTTGATTTTGTGAAAAAACTATGAATTCATTTGAATAAATGTTTTTTTTCTTTCGCACACCTTCGGATTTAAAGCGAGGTCAGAATCAAGTACTACCGAACTATCGTAACGAACTATCGTTATTATATCGAAAAATCATATATTATACCTTTTAATTATATATTAATATAGACTCATGATGTAAAGTGTTCGAAGAAAATGATGCCTTCTCAAGGATTAAGCGCCGATACCACCACAGGCTCCTTCTTCTTCGGGATCCGAATTGTTGTCACCGACAGTAAGCCCATTGCCATTGACAAGTTTGGGTTGAGATTGAATTTCTTTGCAGGGGCTGCTCTTGCCATTTAATATTTCATCCTCATCCGACGACGCATCGGACAGCTGGCGAGGGGACAAGCGGCAGCCACGATCTATATAGGACTTAAGTCTACCCTCGGATGCTAAAATAAGACCCAAGAACGGCGGCGAGGGCTTCAGTGGCCGCGACAAGTACTCCGGATGGTACTGAGTAGCCACAAAGTATGGATGATCCCGCAGCTCGATAATCTCCATACGCTTCTTATCCTCGTCCATGCCCACAAATCTCATGCCGTGGCTTTCCAGTTGCGATACATACTGGGGATTGACCTCGTATCGATGTCTGTGTCGCTCATCCACTGTCCTAGGATTTCCATAAAGCTTGCGAATGATGCTCGTCTGTTCGGAGAATATTGTGGTGCGCTTGCCCAATCGCATTGTGCCACCCATTTGACCTATATGATGCTCCGGCATGTCAATAACCAATGGATTGGTCGTTTCGGGGTTTATTTCCGTGCTGTTAGCATCCTGTAGGCTCAGCACGTTGCGTGCAAACTCTATAACCGCCGCCTGCAGACCCAGACAAATACCCAAAAAGGGTTTGCGATTCTCTCGCGCCCACTGGCAGGCGCGTATCTTTCCCTCCATGCCGCGTGCTCCAAAGCCTCCAGGCACAAGTATGCCGTTGCTTTCGCATAGCTTTTGCCACTCCTTGTGATACTTGGAAGGCTCCCGCTGCAGTGTCTCCTGCTCCAGCAGGCACGACTCGATGAAGATCAAGTTCGGTTTGCGATTTACGGCCAGCGCAGCATGTTGCACCGCCTTCACCACGGATGCGTACGAATCCGTGAACTTAGTGTATTTGCCTACAATAGCTATGTTGACCTCGCGGCGCACAGTTTCCGTGCGCCTGGCCAAATCCCGCCAATGCTGTAAGCATCTGTGCACAAAGGAAAATATTTGGATAATTTAGGAGAACATCTCACATTGTTGAAATCCACTTACTTGGCCCGCTTGCTCATGTCGATTTTCAGCTTCAGACGCTCATTGAGGAACTCGATGACACCGTTCTGTTCCATCAGGATTGGCACATGGTATATGGAACTTAGGTCGTGTATGCATATAACTTGGTCTGGATCTACGTGACAGAAATTACTGATCTTCTCCTTCACCTCCAGGCCGATCGGCTTCTCAGAGCGACAGACAATAAGATCCGGGCTCAAGCCACAGCCACGTAACTCTCGCACGGAGCTTTGTGTGGGTTTTGTTTTTGGTTCGCCCGTGGCCTTTGGCAGCGGCACCAGCGACACATGGGCCAAGCAGAAATTCTCGCGTTTTACGCGAAACTGGAACTGTCTAAAGGCTTCGACGAATGGCATGCCCTCAATGTCGCCAATGGTGCCGCCAAGCTCAATGATGCACACCTGCGGCTTGGATGAGCCCTGAACAGGTGTTTGGGCGACGCTCTCCACCCATTCCTGTATGGCATCTGTTATGTGCGGCACAACTGTAAGCAAAAGTACGGCATTAGCTCGAGGTATAGATGTGATAAGCACACCCAGAAGTCTTACCCTGTACTGTCTTGCCCAGGTAGTCGCCTCTGCGCTCCTTCTCGATGACGAGCCTGTAAATTTTGCCGGTTGTTATGTTATTGTTCCGGTGCAACGTTATATCAAGAAAGCGTTCGTAGTTACCCAGATCTAGATCGACCTCGGCTCCATCGTCGAGCACGTACACCTCACCTGCGAAAAATCAATTGTCCACATGAAATAGATATACTGAAGAGTGTGAAAACTTGTTTCATTGTTTCCCCTCCCAACAAAAATGCTGTTGCCGCGAAATTGAACGTTTACGGTTTTTATTTGCAGATCTTTGAGCTTAGGCTAAATGGCGCGCACCAGAGCCCGTTGGTGGTTGGGCGGGCCGGTGGCAACGCTCAACTAGAAATGGATAAAGTCGCATGGCATAGATAACTATGGATTAGATTTAATCCTTACAAACTAGGGATGCTTATTTACAGTCTTTATATTCATGGAAATTGGGAACGGGCAACTACTTGGACTCCTCGAGATCCTCCTTGTAGAGCTCCTTAAATATGAGCTTCTGTATCTTGGTGCGTATGCGCAGTTTCTGCGCAGCCGTCAGTTGCTTCATGTACGGATGCAGGCTGAGCAAGTAATGATAGTCGTCATCCTCTGGCACCAACGGCGCATCCATCGTGGAGGAACCATTAAAATTGCTGTCCTCCGACAGCCGTGGCCGCTTCAGCTTCAATGCCGGAATCAGACCATTCGCATACGAGTGTTGTGTGAAATTCAGATGCTCGCTGCCGCCGCTGACAGCGCCACCGCCAAAGTCCTCCTTGGCGCCGACCGTGTGATGGCCGACGGCCAGTGTGGGCAGCGGATGATGCGCCTTGTTATATAGCGGGGGTGGCGACACCGAGCGCTTGGCGCCCATGGCTCCCGAGCTGCCGGTTGTATTGGAGGTGGTAGTCGCTGCCGCCAATACTGTGCCGGCCAGCTGCGTCGCTGTGGCCACAGCACTGTTGCTGGTGGTGGTGGTGGACACCATCGGCGGAGGGGAGCAGTGAGCGGGAGCGGCGGGTATTTCCTGAGCCATGAGTGTTGCCATCGCAGTCGCTACAGGAGTCTGTGTTGATTTCTTACTCAGGTCCTGTGCCTCCCTTTCCAATTCCAACTCCAACAACTGGGCACGCAACAGGCCCGCCTTGAGCAGGGCGTGCTGGTGTGATGCGGCAAACGCCTCCTCCTGCGCTTTCAGCGCGCCCGTGGCCAGCGGGGTTGTGCTCACTTGAGTTTGTTGATGTGCCGCTGGCGGGGTGGGCATACCATCCAGGCTGCCGTCACTGGGCTCGCCGCCAGCGTCGCCATCGATGTCGTCCTCATCGAAATCCTCGTCGCTGTCCTGCAGGCGACGTATAAGGCCATTGGTGAGGTCTGGCTCCACCACGGTCTTCTCGCAGTCCTCGCTTTGGCTCTGCTGGTTGAAGTAATACGACTGATCCTGCTCGTTCTTGGGCAGACGATGGCGCATGTGATCCGCTGCAGGAGTTACGGATGCAAATGTCAGGTGACACCCGAAAGTAAGTCGGCCGTGGAGGTACTCACTCAGAAAGAGCAGGGCGTAGTAATGCAACCACTTGGACTCAAATGTGGCGGGATCCACCAAAAAGTCGCCGTTGTCTGCGCGCGGTATGCGCTTGTACTCGACCCTGAAGTTATCCCGCAGTCCTTTCCACTTGGCTTTCAGAACGATTTCTGCCAGAGAGCAAATTATTATCAAATACGTGATTTGATTTACCCAAATCCGCGCATAGAACAAACTACTCTCTGAAGGCATAACCTCCTTTGGGGGGAAGAGGCGACTCGGCCACACTTTTTCGCCTTACGTAAGGTTGTTGTGCCTCGAGAGTTACTTAGTCCATGGAGCAGGTTCCCTATTACACTCGTACTTACTCGGTAGCTTGTGTGTGCCACTCAGCTCGTCCCACATTTGCTCCAAGAAGGCCTTGTTGCAGTGGAAGTTGCGGTTCCATATCGCCGGCCTTTCCTCGATGTCGTGAATGAACTGCTCCACATTTAGAACAATTGTTGATTTTTTTGGCGCCATTTTAACGGGCCTTTTGCTTTACTTTGATTTTTCGTTTTACTTGTTTCACACACGCCTGCTCTCTGCTCTCTGCTATCTGCAATCTGCTGTCTGCTGTCTGCTGTCTACTGTCGCCTGCCAACAACGAATGCAATTGCAAATTCAAAACACAGCTCACCATCTCACAGACAATTTACTCTCACTTTACACACACAGACTGACTGACACACACACACACACACGTACACGAGCACACACAGTTACGTTTTCGGTTGTGGGAGAGTGAGCCCGGCTTCATTGAGTAAAACCCCAATCCTATGCTTAATGCATGTATTCTTAATGCAAGCTTTAACTGTAGTCTTGTTATTGTGAGAGTCGCATAGTATTTGAATTTGTCGTTTACCGTTGGATAGAAAGAGCGCTCACAGGGAGCACGTGCTTTGCTCTCAGTGCTTAAGACAGACAGCAAGATCTTTTGCGTACGCGACAATAATTTCAGAAAGAAAAAAAAGCTCAACTAGACTAACTGAAAGCTTATAGTAATACGGTTAATTCGTTAAGTTGGGATATGATAAAATCTCATATTTTGCATTGTTGGAACATGTCTTCGACAGAATATAATATCGTTGCCATCTTGCTGTTTCACCGTAATAATTATTGAAGCCAATTGGGTGGCCAATGGCTAATCTCCTGCTGCGACTCTAGGCCTAGCTGAATGTGCGATGGCAATGGCAATGGCAAAAGCTTAATTCATATGTATATGTATATGTGTCTGCACATATTTATCTGTGTGTGTGTTTGTTTGAAGTGCTTGCGTGTGTGTATGTAAATGGCACAGCCATACAGCAACGAGGAGCTGGGCAGGCAGTCGAAACGACGAACTGAACAACACAACACAATAACTTCATTAAGATTCCGTGGCCTGCGACGTTGCCGTCGTTGCAGCCAGTTTTAGTTGCCGCTGCTGTTGCTGTTGCTGTTGCTTGGCGTGCCAACGAATTTGCAGCAGATGCAGCAGACGGCTGCCTCCCTACCCCTCCAACCGTCACAACACTCTTCATCACTCTCGCATGCCCGTGCCCCCATCATCCACAGTCCACAGTGAAGCTCGTAGGCCTAGCAGCGACAGGAAATGCTGGTCCGCCGCTAACGCACACAACGAAGCGGAGAGAGAAAGAAAGAAGCAAAATCAAATTATAAACACACGCCAGGCTGCGACAGCCATGCAGTCAGCGCGTCCCCCACCCTTCGCTCCATGACCAGGCCGCACTCCTCTTTGGCCCATTCAAACAAAACGCAAACTGGCGCATTTGTATTTGTGTCCGTGTGTCTGTGTGTGTGTGTGTGTGTGAGTGACTCAGACTCAGCCGTAGCCAGTCAGTTAGTCAGTCATGCAAAAATGCTTGCAGCCGCTGCCATCGCAGTCAGCGTCGCCGCCACCGCGTGCACAGAGTGCGAAATACTAAAACAGCAGCAGCAGCGCGCAAAAGGCAGTTAGCGGGTGGAGGGAGAAGAGAGAGAGAGAGAGGCGGAAGGGGGCAGGCGGCAGTTGGTGAAGTTCCAGCCAGCCAGCCAGGCCAGGCCCGACAGCAAGCAAAAGCAATTTCTGGCGGCGCGAGTCTGCGGCAAGCTTGCTGCAGGCTGAACTGCTTAAAGGCAGGCCAGACGCCAGCCAGGCCGAGGAACCGGCAACTAGCGAATGGCGGCAACAGCAACGGCAACGGCAAAGGCGGCGCAGACAAATAATGCGTCACGTTGCGCAGTCGTTAAATTTTCGTTTTCGTCGTTGCCGTTTTTATGTGCGACAGCGGCAAGCTGTACGCCAGGGGGCTGCGATAGGTTTGGGGGGGAGGGCGCGCATTCGCTTTGGAATGAGCTGGGGACAGCAGCTGCTGTTGCTGCTGTTGTTGTTGTGCTGAGGTGCTAGCTGCTGGCTGCTGGCTGCTGGCTGCCTACTTTTGCCAAGAAACTGGCAAGTTTGGCTGCCCGACGCCAATAAAGTTATGAGCCAAGCGAGTGACAGACAGACACAGTGAGGCCCCCTTCGGATGGTCAACTGGACCTAAAGTGGACAGTCGATCTGTTGCCATGAATGAGCCAGCCAATTAGTACATAAGGATGAAAACAGCTCTGTCTATAAGGATCTGGTCCACACGTTTCCTCTCTACTCTCTCCTCTGCTCTAATTTGTTCTTGCTTCAAGTAACTGGGATTTCTTAGGATTTCTTATACGCTTGTCCTTTTGTAGTAAATGCACTTTAAAATGCAAATTACCTATGCAGCTGTGTGTGTGTGTGTGTGTGTGTGTGTGTGTGTGCATAATGAGTATGGGCCATGGTCGGTGAGGAAATGGCGCGGGTGAGGGGGGGCAACTACAGCTTGAACAGTTGTCGCCGACTTTGTTGCTCTACAAAATCAATAAAGACACGCACAGTATGTGTGTGTGTGTGTGTGTGTGTGTCCGTATAGGTGCCCCTTCGTGTTACACACATGCAAAAATTGCGCGCGAGCCACTAAATGCGCGAAACTCGCGTGGGAGGTGGGCGGCAGCGGCGTTGTTTAGCGGGCGTCGTGTTTATAATACAGACGACAGTGGGGCAGTTCGACAGTCCGACTGTCTGACTGTCTGACTGTCTGTCTGTCTGGCTGGTCGCAGCACTCGAAAATCGGCCGTAAACAGAAACTCAATCCGAGCCGAATCGAATCGAATCGAATGGAATCGAATAGAAACGGACCGAGCCCAGGCGAAGCGAAACGAAACGAAACGAAACGAAACAAGGCGAACCACTGCTGATTGCAGTCAGCTTACAACTGAAATTGAAAATTCAGCAGAGCAAAGTGCGAAGCGCCGCCACCGCCGCCGCCATGGCCGTCGCAGCGCGAGCGTGGCGACCGCGACAGGCTGCAGTCAGAGCCAAAGCAGACAGAGCTGCCATAGCCCGAGCCCGAGCCCAAGCCCAAGCCCAAAAGCCAGCGAGCCAACAAAACGTGCCAACTAAAAGAGTGGCGGCGGCAGCGGCAGCAGCAGCAGCAGCAATGGCAGTGGCAGCGGCAGGCAAAAAACAGAAACGCAAAAAACGCCAGGCAGGCAGGCAGGCAGAGCAGAGCAGAGCAGCGCTATAGCTATAGCTATAGCCAGTGCCAGTGCCAAAGCCACGCCACAAGCTTTTGCGACGACGACATGCGGAGGACATACATACATACATATACACAAACACTTGTGCATGTGTGTGAGAGAGTGTGTATGTCCCGTCCCTCTGCATGTGTGTGTGTGTGTGTGAATGTGTATGTCGGTGTGTTTTGGGGGCGCGCACAAACGCTAAAAACAGCCGCCGCCGTCACCAACTCCATCGCCTATGTCAGCCCCCCGTTGCTGGCAGCCTGCTGCCAGTTGGCTCTGCTGCTGTTGCTGCTGCTGCTGCTGCTTTTGGGCATTTATTGCGCGCGGCATTTGCCGGCTAGTCAGGCACGCACACACACACACACATACATATGGTCTCACAGTGTCTTTATATGTGTGTGTGTGTGTGTGTGTGTGTTTGTGCATACGTACGTGTGTGTGTGAGTGGGCTTAAATGTGTGCGAGGCGGGTGTACGGTGCCGGTGGCCTGGTCTGCCTGCTGCCGCTGCTGCATGCGCAAAACGCCGACGTCGACAGCAGCAGCAACAGCAACAGCAACAGCAACAACGACAATCAACGCGCGGAAGCGAGCGAACAAGCAAGCGAAAAGCATAAACCATGAAGAGATGGGAGGATTGTTAAAATTACGCGACAGGAGGCAGGCAGTCAGGCAGGCAGTCAGGCAGCCAGCCAAAGCCAGCCAAAGCCAGCTCACAACGCTGAAATGAATCGCCGGCTGGCGTTGACGTTGGCGAATGGCGAATGGTTTCGGGCCTGTCGCTGGCACGCAGGCATCGCGGCAAGCGAGGGAGGGGCGCGCGGGTGTGGACATTTTTGTTAGCTGATAGGCTGGCTGGCCGGGCTGGCATTGGATGTTGGATGCAACCGTCAGGCGTTAATTGCCATGCCCCAAATGAGGAAGTGGAAATTGTCGAAATGGAAGCAGCTGGACGCAGAAATGAGCCGTTACATTAGACGACGACTCTAGCTCCATGCAGGTCTAAGCTTGACCAGATTAATACTTTACATACAGTATGTCAATAAAGTGTTTTGACTAACGAAAAAAAACTAATTTTTTGGGTTTAGTTGAAAATAAATGTACCTAAAAGTGAGAATTTTTTTTCAATTCTAATTTATTTCGATTCTATATTTTTCCTAGAACTTAATGGCAAAAAGAATTGTTAAATAACATTACCCAAACATTTTATAAAATTAAAAAACTAAAAACATTCAAATTTTATGCTGTCAATAAAGTGTTTTTACACGAAACTTTATTACTAAATAACAATGTTAAAAAAACAGGAATATTTTTTTTTAATACTTTGTGTGGCTGCCATTAGCGTCACATACAGCCTGCAATCGCCGTTTCATTGAAACAATAAGGTTTTGTATGTATGTTTCTGGAATCTTCTGCCATTCTTCCAGTACAGCAGCTTTTAAATCAGTTTTTGATTTTGGACTCCGCTTTGCGACTTTTTTTTTCAAATATGACCACACATTTTCTATTGGATTCATATCTGGACTTTGTGGTGGAGTGTCTAACACCTTTCCACAGTTGTACAACAGCCAAACTCTTACCATATGAGCTTTATGCTTCGGGTCATTGTCCTGGTAAAATTTAAAAATTGGCTTATTGTCCTCATAGAATCCAAATTTCTGTGCACTACTGACGAGATGTGTCTGTAAAATGCTCAGATATTGTCTAGCATCCATGGTATTCTCAATGAAGGTCAAATCTCCTACACCCTTGCTCGAAATACACCCCCACACCATCACTGATAGTTTTCCGAATTTAACGGTTGGAATAATATTGCGGTTTTCCAACGCTGTTAGTGGCTTTCTCCAGACTCTGGATGGCCCATCGTTGTAGAATAGCATCATCTTGCTTTCGTCACAGAATATGACGTTACTCCAAAAATCGTTCGAACTATTTACATGGACTTGAGCGAACGATAGCCGCTTCAAAATATTCGCCGCCGATAGTAGAGGTTTTTTCCTGGCAACTCGTGATGTGTAGTCATTGGAATTCAGTAATTTTCGGACAGTTTCATGTGACACATCAACACCACTTTCTTCCTTGAACTCCTGAGCAATATCCCTAAGCGAAATTTGTGGATTTTTCTCAATTTTTCTCAGAATTTTTCGCTTATCTCTGTCAGAAATTTTGCAGGGTCGACCACATACTGGCTTTGCCTCTAGCCTATCTTCCTTATTGGCTCTGTTTAATATGTTGTATATCGTTGCTTTTGATAAATTAAACATATCAGCCAGTTCCGAGACTTGACGTCCCATCTGATGGTTATAATACACCAGCTGAGCGACTTCAAAAGTTGTTCTTTTTCCTGGCATTTTATTTTTCATAAAATTAAAGCAAAACGTTATAAATTGCAATAGAAAATGACAAGAAAAGTCGAAGACACAAGAGAAGCCAAAACGCATGGGCCCAAATCTAACGGGATCACCCAAAAGAGAACGGCAAAACAATTTACCGTAGCTGTAAAAACACTTTATTGACAGCATAAAATGTGAATGTTTTTAGTTTTTTAATTTTATAAAATGTTTGGGTAATGTTATTTAACAATTCTTTTTGCCATTAAGTTCTAGGAGAAATATAGAATCGAAATAAATTATAATTGAAAAAAAATTCTCACTTTTAGGTACATTTATTTTCAACTAAACCCAAAAAATTAGTTTTTTTTTGTTAGTAAAAACACTTTATTGACATACTGTACATATATGCGCATATGTGTATGTAAATTCTATATACACATGCCATACACTTGTTTAGTTGTGTGAGCCAGCTTCTCACAGGCTCTCTGACGCCATCAGCGCGGATCTCAGACCTTGGGTAACACATCCTGAAAAGCTAAAAATTGCTGCTGCCGACACAGAAACAACAACAACAACAACAACAACAACAACTAGAACAACATAAACGAAATTTTATTTTCCATTGAATTTTGTTCACATTGTTTTTGTCGTTGCTGCTGTGAAAAAACGTGAGTAAAACGGAATGCGCGAGCAGAAGAAGCAACAAACCATATGCCAAACGAAAAGGCACAACATGTAGGTGAGAGGCGCGCGGTAATGAAGTGCTGGCTGGCATAACGCAAAGAGCAACAGCTGCTAACAATGTTGACGCGTCGTCGCTGATGGCGGGCCGAGCAGCCAGACTTGAGACGCAAAGCTCAGGCTTCCCCCGAACGGACGCGGCATGAGAAGCGCAAAACGTAAAGCATAAAACAAAACAAACGTCGAACTCAACTTGATTACGATTATAACGTTTATGATGATGATGATGACGATATGGTTGATGATGACGATATGGTTGATGATGACGATGATAAGCATGAAAGTCTAAAACATATTAAGCAATACAATTACATATATGTACATCGTGAAGCGTCTGAGGTTGGGTGCCTGCGTCCAATATGGCGTCCCCCGTGCCAAATCTACCCACTGGCCGGCCACATGCGACCCACTCTCGAAATTAACGCCAAAAAAATGAAGCACAAAGCGCGCGCACACGCATGTGCCGCATGCAGCGCCCTGCCGCCGGCGTCGGCGTCAACGACAGCCGACTGCGATGTTGGCGTCGACGTCGACGGCACCGTAACCCACAGCCTCGTCCCGTCAGGACCAAAGCTTGCACAATAAATGAGCAAAAGCTGCACCGAATGCAACGCAAACGACCCCCAAAACCGAATGCGAGCCTGCTGGCCCCTTGCGAAAAATGCAAATGACAGGCAGCAGACATTACTGTAATTCGTGGTGGACATCGGCGTGAATGCGGGCAGCGGCGGCGGCGGCGGCGGCGGCGGGAGACGGGCAGCAGGCGCACAACATAACCAACTTAACCAACCCAACGTCATGTGAGTCTGGGCCGTAGAGGCCTCAAAGGTGGTTGGCAACATGTGCCCAATTTTCTCCCCAGTTCGCAAAATAACAACAACAACAACAAAACAGAAAGAAAGGAGTTCGTTTGCACACCGAAGACTAAATACCCTTGTATGGGTAATGGTTTTGCAGTTATGTGAGAAGAATGACGTTAGTTATTGAAGAGAAGTTAACCATACTGAATTGTGTTATTAGACCGATTCTTCATATAGAGCTATATGATTTTTTGTTGTATTTCATTTTTATAATAAAATAAAACGATTTTTAAAATAATGTATTAAAAAACCAACACTATGATTCCTTTTCTTCCATTTGCACACCATTGCACCCATATACCCTTTTTACTCATTTCAAAAAGGTACAGGGTATTAAAGTGCACATGTATGCATCAAACTGTATTAGCGTCGAATGCCTTTAAAGCTTATTCCAACACCTAGCATTTTTTTTATCTTTACCGTTATTTCATTTTTAATTGAAAGATGTATAAACTATGTATGAAAGTTTCGCCTGATTGACAGACTGACAGACTGACTGAATGAAGCTTTGTTTCGGGACGAAATTATGAAGCAATACGGAGTTTTCAACAATTCGAACTGCAAATGGGTGAAACAATTAAAATTTTTTAAATTAAAAAAAAAAAGCACCAAATTTTACAAACCTACCTTTGGTGTCTAGACAAAGGGGCTCAACGGGGGGACTCTAGGACTCTCCCTGTTTCAACCCCTGTAGTAGTCCCAGTAGAGCCCGTACCTGATCCCGTCCCAGTTAATCAAACTGCCTCAGCCCCGTCAGCTCCTGGCTTGCCCAGATTGTTAAAAACAATCATTGTGCCTCTTTAGCTCCTCCAACTCCTGTATTATCTACAGCCCCATCAGTGCCTACTTTAACGGTAGTTGCCCCTCGTAGGCAAGTTTTTGTGTCTCGTCTCTTCGTCGGACTGAGTCTTCTGCGCCATTGGCAGCCTATATTGCTAGCAAATCTTCTGCTAGAGTGTCAATAACCAAATTGAATTTCTGTATGCTTTAGCTAGGCTTTTCGCTTGGGTGAACTGCACCCAACCCTTCTGCCCTTCTGTTCTGCCTATTCTGTTAACGGTCCTGCCGCCCAACTGCCTGCACGACCTCGTAAAGACGCCTTGTTCGCCTGTTTCTAGCTGCGTTTACATAAACAGAGTATTGCGAAGTCAGTTGCATCCGACTGAAACGAGTTAGAGCGCGAGCTAGCTAGTTGGAATTTAACGGTATTACGAACAACGGCTATAATGAAAGCGAAGAATTGCCGATTAAGTTCACTGCACAACTCCGCTCCGCTCCCCACCCCTCGACCAACCAACCACACCACACAACACCACACCACACCACACCACCCAAATAACCTACTCAACACTCAATACGCACAGCGAAAACAAGCGAATGCAAGAAAAAGAGAACAGGGGACAGAGAGTAACTGTGCAACTTGAAAGAAAAACTTTCGCTTTCAATGTCAAGCGCAAAAAAAAATAGGGGCAACGACAAAAGGAATGCATCAAGAATCTGTGTGCCATTTCAGAGAGGCCGAGGGTGTTTAATGCATACATATACGCATACATATATACTGTGTGGGTATTTACCCACACATACACACATTTGTACTTATACACTAGCAAGAATTAGCCGGCTTTGCCAGACCAAGTTCTTATGCACTTGATGAGATTAACTATGCTCTTTAAATAAATGCAAAATCCTATAATGATCGGATGACTATCTCGCAAATCGATCGAATATTAAATTTCGGCATGAACAACTTTGCGGCCGATCAATATATCTTGTTTAATATATTTTCAGTATGCTGCTTATATATGAACCTAATCTTATTAAGTTTCTTAAGATATATTCACCAAACTCAGCAATAACAAATTGGCTAAGCCAGAAGGCAAATGTCCATAAGGGTATTAAATCTTCGGCGTGCCGAAGATAAGCCAACTTACTCGCTGCATCTGATCGAACGAAAGACATAAGCATGGAACCCCCACCCACCCCCGTCACCGCCATATACCCTATAGATCTTACTATGTAAAAACAATAATCCAATCTTGGGATCATTCTGTTCAAGAATTCAAATAAATAAATTTATACTTTGTATAGTCGAACATATTTTGTTATGTTTGTTACGAACAGTTGCATATGTATCTTTCTTATGCCCTTTACGCGCAACATTAATGGGTATAACACAGTTTTCGACAAAACGCACATAACAGTATTTGGTATAAAACTTAAATATAAATATATATAATACGCAAATAAATAATAACAAATACTTTCAATTGGCGTATTTAATCGACCGATCTTTAATATGTTTGTATTTAGATAAACCTGACGGGGTCGAAGATATTACCCCCCAATCGTACAGCAGCAAAACGAATGGCCTTAAGACAACAAAGCTGCGAATGTAAAAAAAAAAAAATAAAAACTATTCTTCTTCCGAGCGAAAGAAATTCGCACATGTGTACATACATAAATACAAACATTTATACGTACATTCATGTGTATATGAAAAAGAGATTAGAAAATTGCCAAAATTTAGTGCTGATGCTTTAAAATACTTTTGCGTCTTCTTTTTTTGCATAACTGTACGTAAATAAACACGTGTATATGTATGTGTGTATATAAGCTCACCATGTTCGTATGGCGAAAACGTGCCCGCGTCGATATTGATATATGGATCAATTTTTATGGAAGTAACATCCAAGCCGCAGGACTTGAGCAGCGTGCCGAAGGAAGAGGCGATGACGCCCTTGCCAACACCGCTTATCACACCACCAGTAACCAAAATGTACTTCATATTAATAACAGTTCACGTTAAACTTAAATATGGTATTTGCCAGTTTAGTCGGGCTGGCCACGCGGCACTTGTAATTCACTTCCAAGGTCTGCCTATTTTGTTGCCACGTGGAAAAACACGTGCAATCACGACAATTGGCAACAGTTTTAAGTCAGTCAATATTCTTCATTTATTATTAATTAAAACGAAAACGTTTTCTTTTAACATATTAACTGAACGCGCCAAACCAAAAAATGTGGTCGCTACTACTGTTTCCGCAGCAAGTAAGACATTAAGTAGCTCGATGCGATGATTTGTTCTCGATATTTTTGCTGATATCGCATCGATATCATACATATGTGTATGTCATTTCTTTAGTTTTAATACATGGTCACATTGATTATAATTTGCTAAATTCTCTTGGTAAATTTGATTTTTTTAAACTTTTTTAGTTGTGTGTTGATTTGTTTATGTTACAGCTCTTTCCATTACATTAAAAAAAAAACATTACCTAACCATTTTTATCTCATATATTGAGTAATTAACTTTTGGAATTTTAATATTTGATTTATTCGAAGCAAGAATTTTGATGAAATCAATTTGCAAAATCGTTGAAAAATATTCACAGCACGTGAGTGTTGTACAACAAGTAGTATTGGTAATGGCAGCACTTAATGGACAATGTTGGTAACCGGTTGCACATCGGTTGAATTCAAATTTGAATTTTTGGTATTTTTTTTTCTTCCTTTTATTCAAAACTAATTGCGTTTTTAATTTACTTGAATTAGCGAAAGCATTTATTATTATTCAAATTAAAGCGTCTGCAAAAAGAGCATTTTAAATGCATTTAGGTATCCGTATGCACGAAGTCAGAGCTTTGATCCATGCACACCGCGTATAAAAAAATGTAGAACAGAAAATCGAAATCATTTTGTTGCCTCCTGCTGCTCAAAAGCCGGATACTGCTCCAGGACCTGTGCCCAGGTGAGACGCGTCGTCGCCAAATCCTTGACCACGCCGACAACAACGTCGAGTCCAATGCGAACCTGTTTCATGGTGTTCCGATCCCGCAGCGTGACGGTGTGCGGCTCCTTAAGTGTGTCAAAATCCACGGTGATGCCATAGGGTATGGCAATCTCGTCGGTGCGCGCATAGCGCCGTCCAATCGAGCCACTCGAGTCGTCCACTTTGTGCGACAGCTCCGCCTTGGTCAACGCCGCAGACAGCTGCTGAGTGTACGGCTGGAACTCGGCGTTGTTCGAGAGCGGCAGTATGGAGCACTTGAGCGGTGCCACGAGCGGGGGCAGCGTAAAGTAGCAGCGCTGCTCGTCGCCATCTCTGCATTGGAAGCTGTGCTCGAGCAGGGCGTACATGATGCGGCCGATGCCGAAAGACGGCTCCACCACGCTCGGTATGAACTCCTCCACGTGCACAGTTTTGGTGGCATGCTTCACGCCGATTGTCTCGGCGCCGAGCTCATGCGTGGCGCCGTCGGGTAGCGTCAGTTTGTACGGGCCACCAGTCGCCAGCTGTGCCTCCACCTGCTTGATATCGTCCAGCGACAGCTTGGCCAGAGCATCCGTTATGGCCTTGGCTTCCTTTTTGAATGTCTTGCCCAGAGCCTGCTTGTTGGGCACAATCTCACTGACCTCGACTGTCTTGGGAGCTGGCAAACGCTTCTCGGCCACCAGACGCACACCTGTGGCGGCCGTATGCTGGCTCAGATCGTAGGCGGAGCGGTCAGCGCAGCCGACGCACTCCACCCAACCGTACGAGGTGAGAATCTCCGCGTCCCAGCAGTCGCAGGCATAGTGTGCCATCTCGTTGCCCATGTGCTGGCGGAAGCGCAGGCACTCGGGCTTGATGCCGATCGCATGCAGGAACTGCTGAATCCGGGCCATGTAGTAGCCCAGCGTCTCGTTGGCCACTAGCTGGCTGGCCACAGCCTCGCCAATTGTCGACTGTTGGGACGATTTGCCGTCCATTTGGTTGCAGGCCGAATATAGCGTTAGCTTCTCGCCGGCCACCTTGGCAAACTTCGGATGATCCTTCAGCGAGGGATCGCAAAAGTGCTCGATTTCCGCCATGGTGAACTCGCGCACGCGTATCAGGCCGGAGCGCGGGGAGATTTCGTTGCGGAACGAGTTGCCGATTTGGGCTACAGCGAAGGGCAGCTTGCCCTGATTGAACTCCAGCAGTCGCTTAAAGTTGACAAATATGCCCTGTGCCGTCTCTGGGCGCAGGAATCCCTTCACCAGGCCAGTGGGTCCGATTTGTGTGGCAAACATCAGATTGAATTCAATGGGCTCTGTCAGATCGTTGCCCGTCAGCGGCGACTTGATGTCATACTTGGCCAGCACGTCGGCGAGCTCCTGTTTGTTGAGTCCGTCCAGCTTGATGATGATGTCCTCGCACTCGGCCTGCAGGCTGGCGGTTGCATCCTTGGCCTTGGATAGCTTTTCGAGTGCTTGCTTGATTAGATGGTCCAGTCGGAAGCACTCGCCAGTCTTGACGTCCTTCACCATCAGATCGGCAAAGCGCTCCACATGCCCGGATGCCTTGAGCACCGGCTCCGGCGTCAGCATGGAGCAGTCTACTTCCAGCATTTGCTCCTCCAAGCTGAAGAACTGCCGCCACAGAGCGAGTATGTTGGATTTGAGTGCACAGCCCATGGGCCCAAAGTCGTACTGGCCGGTGATGCCGCCATAAATAGCAAAGGATTGATCGTAGAAGAAGCGACGCTTGAGCAGATCTTCCATTTTGGCGCGATCAAAGCTGACAATGCTTGGCGTCAGCGCCAGCTCTTTCTCTTCCAGCACTTTTTTCCGCACCTTCAGCTCGGCCACCGCCTTCTTCACGTCCAATTCGGGTGCACCCTTTGCCTTCAGTTCCCGCACCAGGTTGCCCTGCTCCTGCACCCGCTCGCGCAGCGGAGCCAGTTGCGCTTCAATCTCTGGGTTCGACATGATGAACTCTGCTGCTGCGGCTCGCAATTCAACTTTGCGTTTCTGCTTTTTGCTACCCCAAGTGCTTGCCGTGGAGGCGCCAGCGGCAAAAGATGTTGTGCTAAAAGATGCTTTCGCTTCTGCTTTGTTGGCAAAGGTCTCACACTCACGCCAACTCCACGTTTTTGTGTGCGTTCTGTTTAGTGGAATCTGTAGGATACGTCGGCTAGCGGTGCGCAGGTGTGTGTGCGCTTTTATGAACTGCAATGACATATGTTATTTTTTATGCGCGCAACACAAGAATTTATGTAATTTTAATTGACGATTTCGGAACTCTGCAATACCTTTTAGCTGCCTTCTGGCTGATTCACAATAGAAATGAGTTTCGTGTGCAACACTGCAATTTCATCAACAAAAAGCTGGTCAAGACTGGTCCATTGCATCGTGTGTGGGCCTTTGCATGTCATGTTATTTATCCATTGAATTGTATTGAATAGCAACATTTATTGGCAGTAATAAACTTAGAGTAGAATAACATCTTCATATTCACTCACTTATCTATAGTTTTTCTAATAGATTGTCGCACGCACATGCTGTGCCGTGTATGGGCCACGCGATATATATTGTATGCCGATGTCGGCATATCGATATATCGAACATATAAAAAATTCATTTTTGTTCTTTGCTACCTATCAGAAGCATTTTTCTTGCATGTTTTTATAATATAATTTGCTGAATTCGTTTTTATTTCAACTAAACAAGCGACGTTTCAATTTCTTTCCCAACTCGTTTGACGTTAATATTTGTAATTAAGGCGTCCAAAATCTGCAACCGTTTGCTGTGCTCAAGGAAAAGTGACGACGCCGTCTCGCAGCGACGCTATGCGACCGCATTTCTGCGTAGCATAAAAACAAAAGACCAGGTGCGCTTCTTGCAACTCACCTGGGTAACTGTTGTTTACGCCAGTTTGGCTTTGTGGCTTTACAATTCAATGTGTTTCTTCTTGTTGCAGCATCGCCACAACAAGCGTCTTATTTGTTTGGTAAACATTGCATCGATTTAGGGCAGGGCTGGGCAAGTCGAGGCTCGAGGCGGTTTATTGGTGAGTTCTCAATACATACACACATTTGCTTTGCCTGTCTGTTGTTTTTTGTTTTTGTTATTTTTGTGGTTATTTGTTAAGCATTTAATGTACAAATCATAGTATTTGCGAGCTTTAAGCGTAGTTCTTGTCATTCTCGGTTCATGTGTGCCCTCTAGCCTTGTACAGTTACCATTTCGATACACATACTTACACCCATTCGGACATAACTCTGCGAGTCTTGTCTATAAAAACTATTAAGTACAACCCGTGTGCATCAAATGCACGCAGACTGCAATGGACACTGGTGTGCTGATCTGCAATTGGGCATGGGACATTCATAGATAAATTTGTACATACTTAAAGATATCTCTGCAGTGGTTGTGGTGGTGCGGTGTCTTTGTAGAGGCAAGTGGAGCGGCAGGCAGCAGCTGTACATAAAGTCTAATAAGCTAGTGCACGTCTCTTAACAAAAGTTAAACAAATCCCAATGCTAACTCTCAACTAAAACCAAATGGGCTAAACAACTGGCGACAATCATTGAAGACTGCTTATGTCTTTCTAGGATCTCGCACGCACCGCGCACCGCAACCACCGTCAGTCAAAACAGTATAAACTGTGAATGTAAGCAGATCGCATCAACTGACGCAGGGAGCAGAAGTCCTGGCGATGCAATTGAAAGCGCCCAAGAGCAGGAATATGGCCAGTCTGAAAGATGATGAACCAGCAGCTAACCATCGACAAAGCAACAACAACAACAACAATAATAATAATAATAACAACAACAACAATAGTACGAGTAGCAATCCAACCAGCAGCGGCAGCAACAACAATAATAATAATAACAATAACAATAACAATAATGAGGATCTCGCCAGCAAACGCGAGTCCTTGGAGGCGCGCAAACAGTCGCTGGAGCAGCGTCTGAGCGAAAAGAGCTGGCTGCTGCAGCAGATCCAGAAACAGGAGTCTGCCATCATGCACGGCAATTACGAGCACCTGACAGTGAATGAGTTCTTTGCCCAGCTGGCGCAACAGTACAAGCATGAGCAGCAGCTGCAGGCATTGGCCAAGGACAGCGGCGCTTTGCTGCGACGCAAGCAAAGCACCAGCAGCCGAGGAGGCGAGAGCCAGCCCGGTGGCAGCCAGACCTATAGCAGCCACAATAATAATAACAACAACAACAATCGACACTCGGAGACGCACTCAAATCGCAGCTCAGAGTATGATAATTATCAGCCAGCTGGCTCCAATGGCGACATGCTGGTCATAGGCGTCGCTCAGCAGCAATCGCAGCAGCATCCGCACGTTAAGAGCGCCCTGAAGAAACGTCCCACACCCACGCCCACTGCCCAAATACAAATGCAATATGTGGCACAGCGTCAGCAATTGCCACAACAGCCTCATCTTCTGCTGCAGCAACAGCATCATCATATGGAAATGTATTCGCAGCAACATGCCAGCTATTTGCAACAGCAACAGCAGCCGCCAAAGCAACGCTCCCAGGGTCAGACAGATATCATATCCATGTACTCGGCCAACTCCTCGAATGTGGCCACGCTGCGGCAGCAGCACGTGGCGCCTCAGCAGCAGCCCATTATCGTGCAGTGCGACAAGTACTATCTGTCGCCGACGCATCAGAGCTACAACGAGGGCGGCTTCATCAAGTCCAGTCAGAACATCAAGAAGTATGTGTCGCCGCTGGCCTCGCCGAGTGCCATCAGCTACGAGCAAGCCTCGTTGCATCATCAGCGACAACTGGACGCCATCTCGTTGGCGCCCAGTTACATGTCCGTAGATGTGGAGAGCGTGGTGCATCAGCAGCAGCAACAGCAGCAGCAGCAGCAATATCGCTGGCGCTCACAATCCCATATTGCAGCACTGACGCCGCCTCATCCGCATCAGAATCAGAGCATGACCGCTGCCCTGGCAGCCGAACCGAAGTCGCATTCCAGCGATATGCTGGCGGCGCCCATGCCGCGCTATGCGAGCAAGCCCAAGCCCCTCGACGAGATATCATTGTGCTCAACGTCCGCCAGCAGCACGACCATAGAGAAGAAGCTCAAGCCCAAGCAGTGGCTGGAATCGTCGCTCGATGGGCCCGCAGTTGTGCGGCAAATCGAATCCACAGCTCACAGTCCGGTCAGCAGCAGTGGCAGTGGCGCCGCTGCCAGCAGCAAGCCTCGCACCAAGCTCTCCTCGCAGTCGATGTCCGTGTCGGGACGTCACTACTCCATGTCCGCTCAGCGCAGTGCACATAATTATGCGCCCGCTGGCTATCCGGTGGTCGGCAGCTCGAAGGCTCTGCAGCATGCGGATGAAAGATTTGCCAAGCTCAGTCAGTCCACTTCCTATCTGAACGCCATGGAGCAGACGGTGGGCATTTCGGCATCGTACCCGCTTGAACCGCTTGAAATACCGCCATTTAGGCTTCTGCCGCCCAAGCCCAACCAAAACCAGCAGCCAACGCCGCCGCCCAGGCCCCCGCCAGTTGGAAACAACAACAATAACAACAACAACAGCAGCAGCAGCAATAATTTAAGTGGCAATGCTCTGCATAATGCTTTGGTGTCGCCACCGCTGGCCGTGGCCACAGCCACGGCTGCAGCTGGGCTGTCGCCCGAAATACGCATTGAATCGCCCAAGAACATGACCGTGGTGCAGCAGGCCACCTTCCAGCCGTACAAGGAGGTGACCAAGCCCTTCGAAATGTCCGACTTCTACAAGTACTCGACGAAGTTCAAGCAGAAAGAGGGCGGCCGGCCAGAATGACAAGAAAACATTTTCGTTTTTCTCCTAGTATATAGTTTACTCTTGACTCTTAACTATTTATGATATTTTTGTTTGACCGACGAAGAGGATCGAATTTCCAATCTGAAATTGATGCGTCCCTGCGCGGTTGTGCCTTGCGGTTAGCGCAAAACGAACTACAAATTTTTATACAAATTTAATGGGAGTTAATGCTTGGATAACAAATGAATAGACAAAAGAGAGAATTGTCCAATTTAAGGCAACTGACAAAATTAAGCGCCAAACGAATTGTACATTGACTCAACGCCTTCGTGATTTGCCTTTTATCAAAAGTTTTATATGTCTTTTACTGATATTGCATTTACGAACTGAACTGAATCGAATGTGTTGTAGGAAAACTTATAGTTATTGTTAATAATGGATTGTACAAAATATAATTTGTACACTGACTTCAATATACACTAATCTATATATACATTTATATAAATGAGCTTGTTTTTTCTATCTAACAAATAAGAGATAACTAAAATGTTGTTTTGATTAAGCCAACTGGAAAATCACATCATATGCAACGTTTATTTTTTGTGAATCTTTCAAAACGAGTTAAATAACACCGATCAGAAGGACCACCCTAACCACCCTCACCATTTTCCATCAATTTTTCACCCATGTTAGTGGAAATTTCTTCGTAGCTTAGGTTACCAGACTTCTATCGGACAGTTCCGTATTTAAACTTGACTTTTATTAATCAAGTATATTTAAATCTTTCAATACGGGTTAAATAAGATCGATCGGATGGAAACTAACCACCCTAAACATATTCCACCAATTTTTCACTCATGTTAGTGAAATTTTCTACCAGAGTTACCAGAGTTCTATATTTAAACTTGAAGCTACTATTGTACATATCTGACATGTATCGTGTGTCTCTGTTGGGGGCGAGTCTTATTTAATATATGTATACACCGATTCTAGATTTGTTTATCTGTGCTGCATTCAATGGCCTGTCTGCGAGTAAATAGTATGTGGGCAGAGATGCATGCACATCTGTTCGTGAGTGTGTGTGTGTGTGTATTTGAATATAGAAGACGTCTTGGTTGTTGTGCTTGAGTGAGCATTATTTTGGCTTCGCCTCTCTTTTGATATTTTCCAACGAGCAAAGGCCGATGGCTGGCTCTCTTAATGCCAGGCAGATCGATTCAGTTGCATTGGATTGTTGGGCTGTTACGTGCAACTGTTTCGATCGATCAGTTGCACTTTCACTTGGTGCACTTTCGGGTTCTGGAGTGCACATTTCAGAGGAGCCGGAAAAGCCACGCGATGAGGATCTAACGTTTCGCGTACCCAGTTTTCTTTTTGTCTGTGTTTTTAGTTTATAGAAAAGTCAGTGCTGTTCGAATTTTACGTAAATCTTTCTCCTACATAACCTCTGTTCGTGTGTGTGTGTGTGTGTTTAAACTGAACCAAATAAAACAGAAATAGACCGCAGCACGCTTTCAAAGCAAATTCAAATCAAGCAAGAACAAGAACAGCAGCAGCCGCAACCAGTAAACGGATCTATACAAAATTGTAGAAAAATAAATATGCATAATTGACAATCGCAAATGT